TTTGGTGGAGCTGAAACCGTTTTGGAAACGCTTCATAAAAACGACTCGAGTGACAATTTTTTAATAATTTGTGTCATATTTGTATGGAGAAGTCAGGAGAAGCCACGGTTTGATGGCTCTGGCTCCTCAGTAAAAAAACAACTCCCTAAACTATTGTTTGGTTTAACCCTGCCCTCCCCTCAAGCTATTTCAGTAGTTCCAATAAACATATAATGATGAAATTCATATATAATGTATTTGAACATAAGTTATGATGTCAGGTATCATGCATAACACAAAATTTGAAATGAAAACTTAACTTTACACACGAATAAACAGAAGATAATAATAAATCTGGTTAAGGGGTAAACTGGATCAACTGAATGAGTTAAGGAAATAAATGGAGCCAAACGTTAGTTTATGGGTTGTATGGACATAGACGAAACTTAGGGTCCATTTTGTAGGGATCTAGATTCCTAGCAGAAACATTTCAATTTCAGATTCTCTTGAGAAACGTTTCTCTTAGAAACAGATCACTTGCTAAAACCGTTTGCCTGTCCGTCTGGCTTTAGATTCTGAATAGAGGTGAATGTGGTGGAATAGACCAAAGTGCCCTTGATATATGATGAGGTTTTCTTGAGTTGATACAGGGCTAAATAAAATATTTACAACCTGGGCGAAATATGTATACATGTATTCCTATTGTATTTCTTGCTTTATTTTTCAACTGAAAAATGGCTGAAATATGTATACTGGTATTCCTATTGTATTTTTTGTTTTACTTTTTTCTATGGGAAAAAGGCCGAAGTATGTATCACTACTACATAAAAACTTTCACAAGGCGTTTGCCTTTTGGGCTCAGAGGCGGGCGAGCTGGTTGCCCGCCTTCGTTGTTATTCGGTGGCAGGGCAGCCAACCCAACAACTGTCTTGGTTAATCATTAACGGAGGCAGACAACCTTAGGCGCCCGCCTCGGTTAATATCGATTAACTGAGGCGGTTGACATAACACAACTGCCTCTGTTAATATATTAACCGAGGCGGTCGCCTTAAATCAACCGCCTCGGTTAATCGATATTAAGTGAGACAGGCGCTTAAGGTTGCCCTCCTTGGTAAATTTATTTTCGAAGGCGGGCACACTATAAGGCCTGCCTCTAAAAATAGTGGCCCAGCTCCCAGCCCATAAAAATCCCATCTTTGCCCTTCTACCGGGCTCATATATAAGCAGGACTAGATTAACCCTAGCCTCACATCGCCCCTCCCCTCCCAGCGCCCCATGTCCCCTCCCGACCCGATCGAAGGCGGCGCCCCTCCCCTCCCGACCCGAGCGCAGCGCCCCGGCCTCCCTCTCCTCTCCCTCACAGCGCAGCGCCCCTCCCTCTCCTCTCCCTCTATGTCCTCCCTTCGGCGGCGCCGGGCCCCTCCTAGGCGGGCGAGCGAGGGACGCGGCAGATGGGGGCCTCCTCCCTCGGTCTGGCGGCTTCCCAGATCCGGTCCCGACGCGGGGGAGCCACCTCCCTCCGGTGGCGGTGCGGCACGGGACGCCGGATCTGGCTCGCGTCGGCGGCACGCGGGGATGCGGCGGCGGTGGTGGGGCCGCGTGGAACAGGCGAGCTCGCTGGTGGGCTCCGAAACGGGCTTGCCGGTGGGCTCTAGGGTTTATTTTGTTTTTTTGATCCATTAACCGAGGCAGACATTTGCAAGGCACCCGCGTCAGTTAATCGATTAACCGAGGAGGGTAAGGCAACCGCCTCCGTTGTTCACGGATTAATCGTGACGTTTGAATGAAAGCTGTTGCCTTTGCCTGCCTCTGACTATTGAGTTTATTGTAGTGGTGTATACTAGTATCCTATTGTATTTCTTGTTTTATTTTTCTACGAGAAAACGGCCAGGTGTCAGCCAGGGTAGAACGGGCTAATAAGAAAACATCAACCGTTTCTCGTGCGAAACCATGTTTGAGCCGATTCTACCTTTTACACTACGCGGATGAATCGTTTCAATTCCGAATCACCGGTGGAAAAAAATTGTTTGGAGCCAATTCTGCCGTTCCACTGGAGAGACCAGAAAGAGCATCTCCAAGAATCTTTCTAAATCTCCCTCTCTGAATCATTATTTGGAGAGTCATTTGTATAAAAATCGTTTTTTATATCTTTTCATTCTCTAGCAGTTCTTCTATATCTCATGCGCACTCCAGAGAGTCATTCTCGTCTTCTATTTTTGGCTAGCGAAAAATCCGGAATAGAAAATGGCTATATTTGGATAACCATTTAGAGAAGTTGTTGGATGGTAGTTTTTCACCAAAATCTCTATTTCTAACATTTAGGAAGAATATGGAAAATCTCTCGGAGATGCTCTTAGACGAACCAAACAGAGCCTTAGAGAGAGTAGTCTGGACATTTTCACATTGTTCTTTCTTCTGCTTGTATTCAAGCATCACCGCTTTCTGGTTGGTTTTGGTCCTCATCACAGCTGAGGCCCCATCAAGTCAAGGCTCGGGCTTTGGTCCTCACCGCTATCATAACATCCGCCATGGCTTGAATGGTAGCCGCTAGCCCCCTCCCTTGCATCGCTACAGGCACGCCTGCGGGCGTCGAGGGTGTTGCGTTCGTCGCAGTGGAGGCCGAGACGCTCATGCACCGAAACCGCGGTGCACGGCCCGCCGCCTTGTTGGGCCTGATGGACTGCTACATCCTCGTCGGGTTGTTCTGAGGGCGCGTCGTGTCTGCGAGCGTCGAGGGTGTCGCATGAGTCGTGGTGAAGCCCGACACTCTCATGCACCGAAACCGCGGTGCACGGCCTGAATGGGAGCGCTGTCGGGGTGCTCCGTATGAGGTATTCCGGGGACAATGGCTCTCCCCCGGCAAGCTGCGCCATGATGTTGGCGAACGAGAAGGTGAGGTGGCGCAGGTCCTCCCGGGACGGTCGGGGTCCTAGGAAGGCGCCGAGCTGGTGCCCTAACCTTCCGTAGTCGAAGCTGAGGAGCTGGTCGCTCCCGAGGGCGTGGACCTTCGGTGCAGGCAGCTGCAGCTCCCTGGGTGCCGCAGTGATCGCGTCGAGGCCGGCGAAGAGGAGGGGTTGTGCGGCTGTGGGAGGCCGCACTAACTCCCCCTCCGTCATGACGACAAAGTCTATGTTCCCGAAGCGCACGCGTGCGCCCGAGACCCAGCTGACATTGTGATTAGCCATCCGAGGCCTGGTGTGGATGTCGAGATGCGCAAAAATCCCCTACCTAGAGCGCCAACTATCGGTTTTTCGAGTTACCACCAACAAGTAAATTTGTATTATTGCGCGTCTGACCCGGATGGTGTGCTAAGAGGACACGAGGTTTATACTGGTTCGGGCAGAATGTCCCTACGCCCAGTTCATTGCTACTGCTCGTGTTACTAGCACTAAAAGTTCATAGTAGGTGTTACAAACGGTCGAGAGAGCGATAGGTCCCAAGTCTCTGGTGGAAAGAACGAATGGGTGCTGAGAGCTCGGTCGCTGCTCGGCTATGTGTTCGAGGTTCGATGCTAGTGGTTTTGGTGTGATGATCTGATGTCCCTTAATGGGACGCCCTGCTTTCCCTTTTATAGGCCAAGGGAAAGCATGGGTTACAACGGTAGAAAAGAGGAGAACGAGAGGGAGCCGAAGTCCTTCAGGGTCGTCGGGCCTTTCTTTTCCTTTGTGTGGGCCCTGCTGACACGGTAGGTGGTGACAGGGACAGCTCCATGCCGGGCGCCTGTCCGCCGATGGGCGGCCTCGGTGGTCGGGCGAGGCGGAGCCCGCGGCCTCGGTGTTGGGCGAGGCGGAGCCCGTCCCTAGAGGTCGGGCGAGGCGGATCCCACGACCTTGGGGTTGGGCGAGGCGGAGCCCGCGGCCAGAGGTCCGGGCGCCCACAGCCTCTTCGTCGGTTGGAGCTGTAGTCGCACCTTTGACTGCCTGGATGGATTGATGTATAACGACCATTAGCCCCTCCTCTTTGGGTACCCTAGTATTGGTCCCCGACAGGTATATACCACTGAAACATCCAAGATTGTTTGAAATTTTTTCAAAATCTAAGAACTTAAAACAACATTTTTGGACTCTAAACAGTTCATCCATATCCGAGTTCATATAGCAAAGTTATGAAATATTTTTTGATGTAACTATTTTTAGAAAACAAGCATCTTCCTCTATTAATAGATTTTTGAAGACGGGCGCTTAGAATTGCCGCCTTTGTTAATAGCAATTTTTAGAGGTGGGCATATTTTTTATGTGTCTTCCAAAATCTTTTTGTTTTGTACCCTCTTTTTTTGTTTGTTGGCTCTGAGAGCATTGTAACCTGTACATATTATTGTAAACTCCTTTTCACATATATTTATCTCCTAAAATTATTTATAGAAGCGTGTCGGATAAATGTGCTGCCTTCTAAAATCGAAACCTCAGTCTCGTAAAATAATTTTAAAATAATTTTTTGTAGTAGTGTGTAAACATAGGTAGTTTTACCCTTGTCAACATTTTTCTTAAATTTAAGTGATTCCAATACTTGAACCCACTCATGAACCTCCACTTGAGCTTCCCAATCGCCATCGACCCACCAAGTCTCATAAGTAAGAACAAGATTTAACCAAAAGGAGTGAATCACCTCGCATGGTGTTCACTTATCACTATAATGACAAAATCACATCTCGAACTTGTCATCTCATATGCTATCTCAAAAGGTTTAGAAATGAAAGAAGTACCATGACTCAACCGTAGTCGTCGTTGGGTGATTCTCCAGTCGTCGTAGGCGCAACAGTTATAAGTGAAAGGCTACCAAACAATTTCGGCTGGTTGTTGGTCACTGAATAACTCTACCATTATCTGTCAAGCGTGTCATTGCCAGCCTAGCTAGCTCTCTTTGGATATCATTCTACCTATAAATATGCTGCTGAGGTTTACAGGATCCTAGCAACACAACAACAATCCAAAGCACGCTAACTAGCTAGCTACCTAGCTGTTAAGTTGTGCCGCCCCTCCATCAAGGAAACTGTAGTGGTCAGCGTGCTGCGACTTGTGCTGATGATGTTCATCATCTCCTCCAGCGCTGGATCGCGGTGGGCGTCGGCCAACATCCCTTCGGCTTCTTCCCTGGCTCATCAGCACTGCCCATCCAGCTGCGGGGATTTGAATATCTCCTATCCGTTTGGTATTGGGCCGGGCTGCTTCCACCGAGGCTTCGAGCTCACCTGCGACCACACGGCTCATCCACCCAAGCTCTTCTTGGGAAACAGTACCACTACTCAGATCACTTCTCCACTTTATTCTAGTGGTCTTTATACTACTGCTCTTGGTTTCAACGTAACCATGAGCCATGGTGTGGACACCTACAACGTGTCCTGGCAGCCCCCTGATGAGGGTGTTATTATCGGTCATGATAACAATTTGTATGTTGTCGGCTGCAATGTCGACGTCATTCTATTTGGTGACAATATGACAGATCTAATTGGTTCTTGCATGAGTGTCTGCACAGACGACAGAGAGGCCATGGAGAGGGTGAATTTTGATGGCTACTGTGATGGGCTCGGCTGCTGCTACATCGTGTTGCCAAGGGACCTGCCAGCCTTTATGCTCCAACTTGTCCGCCGCAACGTTACAGCAGAACAGTTATTAGACGATGAAGGGCTCTCCAACGTCAAGGTTCTACTATCACGATATTATAGCTTTGCTTTGGGTGATCTATACATGAGTTGGGTGAATATAAGCAATGTACAAGATGCATGGATTGAGATTGCCATCACGGACCAACCAGATTGTGAAAGTGCCCAAGTGAATAAGGACACTTATGCTTGTAATGATGAAAGCAACTGTCAAAACCTACCATCTGGACGAGGCTACCAATGCCAGTGTCCCAGTTACATGCAAGGCAATCCCTACGTGCGTGATGGCTGCATCCAAGGTCCATACTTCGTTGCTTCTTCTTCTCTTCTTTGGTTCTTTTATAATCTATTCGACATGTATATATTTCTAGAGTTTAATGCAGATGAATAGTGCTTTCATTGTCTCTCCAATTTTATATGGTCACTTTATATGGCAACCAAAACCACCCGCCAATTTGAATATGTGATGGTTTTATTGAACAAGTTTGAAAAAATGATCACATCCCTGCACTAGCAATATTTTTATATATTGCCACAAGTTGTGGAGAGCAATTGGAATGACTTAATTTTTATATTACTACTAAAGTAGCCTTGTCATTTCTTTTTTTGGATTTAGTCAACATTCCTCACCATATTTATTTGCCATGAAGCAGCTTACAATTCAAGGCCCAAAGAGAACTGTACCAGATCATGTGGAAACATGACAATTCCATTCCCTTTTGGGATTGAAGAAGGTTGTTTCGCAAGCGATGACTTTCAACTCAACTGTACATCGAGTAATATCACTGTTCTTGACCGAAGGTACACACAATATCTTGTGGCCAATGTATCACTTGATGATGGGTTTTTGGCTGCTAGCAACATGGTGGACAACACAAGCTACAAATTCATGCCAAGGGTAGTCGACTCTGACTATGATGGTTCTTACCATTCCGAGTACTTTCATGAGTCTGTTGTGGACGGTATTTTTTATTTCTCACAGGAAGCTGAAATAATAAATTGGGTAATTGCAAACTTAACTTGTGAACAAGCTATGCAAAAAAATGCTAAGTATGCGTGTATCAGTCACAACAGTTATTGCCAAAATGTCACGCGAGGGAGAACACATTTTGGATATCGTTGCAAATGTTCCAATGGCTTCCAAGGAAATCCATATCTGCAAAATAATTGTACAGGTTACATTTCTCTCTTGTACCATATTTTCGTATTTTCTTATTTCTAGACATTCACTTATATAAATAAAAAAATACATACTGAGCTATGTTTTATTTAGAGTAACTAAAAATCATCATGCATCTATTTGCAACACCGTACCAATTAACAAAACATTGATTAGAGATAAATGCATGCTTTCACTTGTAACAACATCAATATGACACAACTATTCATTTTGGTGTAGACATTGATGAGTGCTCAATTCCAAATAAATGCAATGGAATATGCCACAATTTTGATGGAGGCTTCAATTGTACAAATTGCACCCACGGGAAGGTGTATGATCCAACAAAACATAAATGTGTCATGTCGACTAAGCTACATAATATAATTCTTGGTAAGCTACTTTTATTCATCATTTGAATTTGAATTAACAAAACATTAATATCCACATTTAATGTGTAGGTATTGCAATTGGGATTGCTTGTTGCCTTGGCTCCATAAGTGTTGCACTAGGGGTGATAGTATTGGCTCGTAAGTGGAAGAAAGGTGTCCAAAGGAGAATCCGAAGAGCATGCTTCAAGAAAAATCAAGGTCTACTCTTGGAGCAACTAATATCAAATGAAAGCACTACTAACAAACCAAAGATATTCTCCTTGGAGGAGTTAGAGGAGGCAACCAACAATTTTGATGCTACTCGTGTTCTTGGTTGTGGAGGACATGGAACGGTTTATAAAGGGATTCTATCAGATCAACGTGTGGTGGCTATAAAGAAATCTAAAATAGTGGAGAAAACAGAGATAGACCAGTTTATCAATGAGGTAGCTATTTTGTCTCAAATCATACATCGCAATGTGGTGAAACTTTTTGGTTGTTGCCTAGAAGATGATGTACCTTTGCTAGTCTATGAGTTCATATCAAATGGCACTCTATATGACCTTCTTCACACAGATGTTACAACAAAGTGCTTGCAATCATGGGATGATCGTATAAGGATTGCAACGGAAGCAGCAGGGGCACTTGCTTATTTACATTCAGCTGCCGCAATACCAATTTTTCATAGAGATGTGAAGTCTTCCAATATACTCTTGGATGAAAACTTCACCGCAAAGGTTTCAGACTTTGGTGCTTCAAGATCTCTTTCACTTGATGAGACTCATGTGGTGACAATTGTTCAAGGAACATTCGGCTACTTGGACCCCGAATATTATCATACCGGTCAGCTAACTGAAAAGAGTGATGTATATAGTTTTGGAGTCATCCTTGTGGAACTTTTGACAAGAAAGAAGCCAATTTTCATCAATAATTTAGGTGAAAAACAAAGTTTGTCCCATTACTTTGTTCAAGCACTTCATGAAATATCTCTTATGGAAATCATGGATCCACATGTTGCTGAAGAGGCAGACCAGGAAGATATTAATGAAATCGCCTCCCTCGCAGAAGCATGCTTAAGGGTCAAAGGTGTAGAGCGACCAACTATGAAAGAAGTAGACATGAGGTTACAATTCCTAAGAACAAAGAGACTGAGAAAAAGACATCATTTACCTGAACAAGATGGAGATATTGAGGCTTTGTTACACCTAGAAGCTAAGAATTTAAATGAACATATTGATCTTGTCAATGCTGCCCATGTAATACCTCAAGTGTCCTCTAGGTGCTACAGTTTGGAGCAAGAATATGTGTCTTCATTTAGGTCACGTAACTAAACTAACAGAGGGCTTGCTTAGATATTGTCTATAGAAATATACAGTGTAACAGGATTCGGTAATCTCTATGATGTGTATCCAGTTAGGACTTGGAGTCCTAGGCATATAACTTGGTCATGAATCTAGAGTACTAAGCCTAATTGGCTTTACAAATAATTTTGTATGGATTCTCTATATAATGAAAGCCTCCAACACCCTCAATGGTTAAGCCATTACAATAACTTTTACAAGGTATCCAGAAGGTGAATTTTGATGGCTCCTGTACTAGGTTTGGCTGCTGCTCCATCGACATGCTAAGGGACCTGCCAGCCTTTATGTTGAAATTTCTCATCACAATATTAAAAGAGCACAGTTATTAGATGATGAAGGGCTCTCCAGCGACCAGCGTCAAGGTTCTACTGTCACGAGATTTAGCTTTGCTGTGGGCGATCTTTACATGAGTTGGGTGAATATAAGCAATGTCAAGATGCATGGATTGAAATTTCCATCAGGGACCAACCAGATTGTGAAAGTGCCCAAGTGAATAAGGACACTTATGCTTGTAATGATGAAAGCAACTGCCAAAACCTCTACCATCTAGACCAGGCTACCGATGTCGGTGTCTCAATTACTCGCAAGGAAGCTCCTATACGTTTTTTAGGAAACAAAAGTTCTAGCTTCATTGTTCCTCTAGGAGGAAGAATTAGACCAATTATTACAAACTCACATAAAAAATAATAACCAGGGAACCACTCCTAATGTCCAAGACGATAAGTGAAACTCCACCCATGAGAAGCAAACAGAAACATGGCACTAGACTCTAAAACCCTGCATGCCTCCACAATGGAAGTCTTTGCTCATTCAAGCGCTATAATTGAGTCCAGAATCGGAGCCAATATGTCCCCCGGAAGAGTACCTGCAAAAAATTTTGTTTTTTGATTTTGTTAAAAACGAAATCATTTCTTATGTGCTAGATTGCCCAACATAGCGCTGAAGCTCCTATCGAAAAAAGCAAATTGTGTTTGCGATGTCCCAATTTTGACCATCCCCCAGACAAGTGAGACATGCTTGTTAGAGGGGCAATACCAAACACCCAATGGACCGCATGCCAAAGAAATCTGAGCATAATGACAGTCGAAGAAAATATGTTGGATGGTTTCAAGCTTATTACAAAAATAACAAACTATACTACCATTCTAATTTCTTCTTGCTAGATTATCTTTTGTTAAAATAACCCCTTTTTCAGGAACCACATGACGATTTTGTTTTTTAAGGGTATTTTCATTTGTCATATCTCCTGCGTGACTTTCATACCATTGCTGACAAGGAACGTATACATAGAATTCGCAGAAAAGTACCCATTTTTATGTAAACCCCAAACAAACTTATCCGGCAAATTGTTCAATGTGACATGCATAATACTAGCAAGTAGTCTATGCCATTCTGTTAATTTTTCCCCACCAAAGCCCTTCTGAAAGATACATTTAGAGGATCAGATTGCAGAACCTCAGCTACCATTGCTTGCTTTTTGCGCACCACATTCTTTAGGTTTGGATAAGGGTTTTAAAAGCCAGAATGTCCCATCCATTTGTCTTCCCAAAACCTGATAGATGGCTGCATCCATACCTCGTTGCTGCTTCTTCTTTTGGTTCTTTTATAATCGATTCAACAACATATATTTCTAGGACTATTTCAAGATTTTAATGCAGATGAATATTGCTTTCTTTGTCTCCACCCATGCGTGGTGACTTTATATGGCAACTAAAACCACCCACCAGTTTAAATGTATGATGGTTTTTATTGCACTAGTTTGAAAATAAATGATCACATCCCTTTATATTCCTTTGAATGTACCAAATTGCCACCCTGTCGATGCTGACGGGCAGTCGACACCCACAGACGATATTCGTGTAAAATCAGGTCAGAGACTGTCCAAATCATCCTATAAATAGGACCCAAATAACACTCTGCGATGATGATGGAAAGCTTGATACAAGAGCCGCATATTGCTTTTATCTGCGATTGTTGAGAAATCGAAGGCCACACCATCGGCCGGGCCCGGAGGGGTGACGTTCAACCCAAACACCAACAGGGAGGAAGAAGATGACCTTTTTTCTCCTTAAATTTGAGAAAATTAAGAAAAATAGTCGTTGTGGTGTGCTATAGCAAGTAATCTCCATTTCATAATGGTATCTAGTAAACTTTGGTGTTCATGGTGTAGACTGACCAATTACATTTTTGTTCAGTGTCTGGGAGCAAAATTTGCCTTTTATAAGGCCTTGTTCACTTTACAAATTTTTTTAACCCGATGAATAGTACCACTTTCATCTTATTTGACAAATATTGTCCAATCGTGAACCAACCAGGCTCAAAAGATTCATCTCGTGATTTCCAACTAAACTGTGTAATTAGTTATTTTTTTTACCTACATTTAATACTTCATACAAACAGCTAAAAATTGATGTGATGGAGAGAGAATGAAAAAACTTGGAATTTGGATGGCATCTAAAAAGGCCTAAATTGCCCACCTGCTACGCCACTGAAGGTATGGGACGCTCCCTCTCTGTTTCTGCAAACAGGGACCCTACGTTTCTGACATGTTTTCTTTCATCCAAGGTCAAGGACCACCACCCTTATATTTTTGATTGAAGGAACTTAAAACATCTGGATAACAACACAATCAAAGAAATGAATGATGAATTTAACGGATTTCCGTATCTGACTACATTGCTCAGTAAACACAAATATACAGCTCAGCTGAGGAGATCACATGCATGATCAATGTTACGGACCAAACGGAACTACCTCCGATCCATCAGAACAGCATGTCACAAAAGCAGCAAAACCAATCTCCAGTTCTGCTCTCACGAGAGCAACAAAAGAAGCAGAGAAGGCAGTCCAAGGAAGAAGCTCCATTGCGAGGGCAGATGATGAGACCGGGCCATTCCCGCGCTAGCATCGCCCCCTGCTGTTGAGCCTCTGCTGCCTGGGGTGGGTGCCTTGGGTGGCGACGGCGGTGGCGGTGGTGGTATCACACAGGTCCCAAAGGTTGAATTCGCCTGCACATCATAGATAGGTCAGATAGTTAGCATATGCATGGCATGCATCATGCTGCTGTTCAAAGATAGAAATGCCACTAATTTAAACAGCGCTTACCTTGCAATACGCGATGTTGTCGCATCCGCAGACCATATGACCATTTGCAATATCTGTAGCTAAGGGAGCTCCTCCACCGTCACTCCTCTGCATGATTAAGATTCAAGAGGGTCAGAGACTTCATAACAAAGAAATTACAAGATCCTTGAAATGGCGAAACGGCCCAGGTAAAGGGGTTCAATAGATATTCACATACCATGTAGAAATCAACAGCAATGTAGTTGGGCCACCGATTGCCTGAAGCATCATGGCACGTTTTGAGCATGCTAACGAGTGGCGCTGAATTATTTCCGCATACACCAGTCTGACTCGGGTTAGTCGTGAAGAAATTCATCAGAACAAGTGACTGGCTTTTGGAATCCATGACTGGAGACTCTGTGCGATTGGGGCATTTGCCTGCTACCATACCATCATTTCCATCTGTGTGTATAAATCAAATCTGGTCAACAAAAGTGTCAAGGGAAAAAAAAAAGGAAAACTCTGCAGGCCATTGAAACAGGGCATGTACTGAAACCTACATTGGTTTTCCACAACGTAGTTCCACTCATATGCAATCCCCTCGCTTTCTTCCTTGGATTTCTTTGATGTGAAGACTAGCAGGCGCTGGTTCTGGCTGATCATGTCCTTGAGCAAAGGCCAGTTGCCACCGCTCTTTGGCATTTTCGACACTGGAAACCAATACTTCATAAGGCCAGAAGCATTGAATACTTTCGGCAAGGACCCTGTTGCGGTGTAGTCCTCAAGAAAAATTGTGACTACTTCTGATGGGTTTGCATCAAGGAACGTCTGGATCTCTTTGAAGACATTGATGGCAGGTTGCTGAGAGAAAAGAAAGAAAAACAACTCAAGATTATACTTACAACATGAGTGTACTTATTTTCTTTTTCAGGACAGAAGAGAGAGAAGAATGTTTAGCTGACAATCTTACAAAGGCAGTGAAGTTGTAGCACTTTCCTTGAAATGAGTGGCACAGCCAGACATCGTTGTCAAAGTCATAAGTGTCAAGCATCAAGCCCCTAACACCATTCTGCACATAATCAAGTACAAGTCCCACGGTTAGCATTTTATAAATAACAAATGGTTAGGCAAAACTCTGGCAGATCCGCACTAAATGATAAGGGTTAGTAGTGGTGAGAATCAAAACTCATCTGTTGACCACTAACTGAACATTTTTTTAGCAATTCCACCATTGGAATCTAGTTTGAGGTAAACTGTGTTCCTCAGTACAAACTAGAAAGCTACGAAGTATAATCTTCAAAACAGGGGACATGAGTAACAGCCTACTATACTGAACAGCTTTGACTTAAGATTGCCTTCTTTGTTCCTTCCAGTTGAGGAACATAGGAAGTTGTATATGAGATATATTAGGGTCAGAAAGAATATTTTATTGTATCTTAATGACAGACTAGTTCTGAAACGTGAATGGCAGAACTAGCTAGAAAAGATCAGAGCTGTTCCAACTCCCAAGTCTTCAAGACCTAACCAAGTTGAGCCACGCAAGAACTCAAGTTCCGGATGACCATTTGAAACTAGAAGAAGCAGTATGACATGACAGACGAGATAAGTGTGGTCCCTTCATTTTCTTAAGAAGAAAGCAAACGACACCTACACAGCATAATGCCTGAACTGGACAAGATCTTTGTGAGGTCTGCTTAACAACTTGAAGCAATAATCAAACCAGCAACTTATAAGTAGTCTAACTTTCTCTAAATACAACTAGTGCCACCCTGGTTTCATGAGTTAGGTACAGGCAACAGACAAACCATGTCCTAAGTTACATAAAGTTATACTGAAGATGTTAAGGTTAAGAAGCGGTGCCATTGGTAGCTTAAGGCATTTAGGCACATCTATTCTATATTGGTTGGGGCTTGAGCATGACTAAAATTTGTAAAGACATTAAGCATGTATTAAATTTTGTAATTTACGGACCAAATAAAGCCAGATCCAGAGGCATGCATACCAACAAGAAGTCAAGAATCTCTGTGAGGTAGCAAGAAAAGACAAGCAGCTTCTTGAGCTTGCGTAGTGACCGGTGAGATTAACTATTGACTGTTGAGACCTATTATTGCCATTGTCCGCGCATCAATGGCCAATTGGCCATAGAGTTTGTTAAAAAGGAATAAATACCAGCCCACATGGGCACATGATTCATTCCTAAAATAATTCATAGTACCATGGGCAGAGGTACAAACATATGAATGCAGAATGAGGATAATTAAAAGATGCTAATCAGTTTGAATAAAGTAACTGGTAGAAAAGTTGGGCACATGCACATTATTGTACATTAACTGTTAATCTGTGCTAGATGGTCATGTTTTTGTCCAGAGTGAAACTTTAGCTCTGGGTTGGTGGCACAAGTCCGTGGGCAAATAAAGGGCGAAGACAGCTGACATGATTCCTGCAGTGGAAAAGGGGGCTTGAGCATGTACTGTTCCACTTCCACTGCACTGAATTGAACCAAAGCATGGAAATTACTTTGTGCGATGTGGACTTTTGATGGTAATATTCCTCCGAAAGACAAATTAAAGGAAAAAGGTGCAGTGAAACCAACGTGCGTACGTGTAAATATTCTTTGTAGCTTTTGGTTTTGGGATGGAGTGGGATGTCCATGTCCTATTCCAGGAGCAGGTGCAGCTCACACACACAGGCTGCTTGTTAGTTTGGTTGTGGCTTGTCGTAAATGATCGTAAATTTTTAGATAGCTCACACACAGCTTAGCAGTCCAACTAACACATATGGCACTGTAGCAACCCAACTACACACAGGCACTGTAGCATCCGGGAGCAGAACAGAAAGGTCCAAATTTTCCTTGACTGTTAGGAAAAGCCTGAACTCTGGAAGAGAAAGGTGCTGGCTTTCTTTATATTTTTTGCTGGGCAAAATTTCACTAGATTCTGTAGGAGATGTGTTGTACGTAGTAATAAAGATAATAAAAGGCGATGATATCTATGAAGTTTGCCAATGTTGACATCACATAATTATTTACTGTGCCAAGGGAGTCGAAGGTGCTGTGGTGATGAGATTTGAAATCATCATGTGGTTGAGTAAGCAGACAGACAGGCAGACAGCACAAACTAAACGCAACTACAGGGGATCAAATCAAAGGATGATGCTGAGATTGGATTGGAATAAATTAGTCCTGATGAATTCGGTGATGATGAGATAATGGCATGCACGGTGTGAGTGTGTCAAACAACTTGACATTGTTCTTATATATGCGCGACAGTAGTAGTAGTGAGTAAAGCAGACGCTAAGGTGGGCCCACCGGCCAACAGCGGTGGAAGGTGGACACGTGGTGGGAAGGCGGGGGCCAGCAAAGCAGCAACCACCCCCGCTTCCATTGGCAGCGGCAGCGGCGCCGGCGTCGGAGGGGATGGCGGATGCGGTTTACCTGATCTCAGAAGGGGAGGGACAGGGTGGCGAAGGAAGGAAGCCTTATATACTAGGGAAATGGAAATGGCGACGAAGAGGTGGTCTGGTTGGTTACCTTGAGCTGCGCGGTGACGGTGTCCTCCTGGTTGGTCTCGGTGATGAGTGGGTTGCCAGTGGCGGAGTCGGCGCCGGCGAGTGCGTACGAGTTGTGGGTGGTGAGCCACGAGTAGTTGTTGAAGGGGAGGCCCGTGCCGTGGGTGGCCGGGTCCACGGGGCTGGCGCGCGTGCAGATGCTGTCCCCGCCGGCACCGCAGGCGCTGCAGTGCAGGCCGGAGCCGCAGCCGCCACCGGAGGAGGAGCACGCGTCGCCCACCTGCGCCGCCGCTGCCTGGTGCGCCGCAAACAGCAAGAAGAAGAGCAGGGTCGCCGAGAAGAAGAGCAGCAGCCGGGGCCGGGGACAGGCGGGCGCCATTGATGGGATCGGCGCCGCGCGCGGCGAGCCGGCGACGAGTTGAGTTGGCATTCAGTGGACGCAACGGCAGCGAGGAGGTTGAGGACGCGCTCGTGGTGGTTGCCTGGACCTGGTTTGGTGAGGACACAGGACTGATGAGGGCTGCGTCTCTGCCTGCAACTTTTTATTTTATTTATTGCAAGAGCCAACAGCAGAGCCGCTCTGTTCGGAAAAAACGACTAAGGCCTGCTCCTTTGGAGAAATTCCGAAGAAATTTAGATGATTTAGAGAAATGCTGGAGGAATTTATGAGAGAAAAACATTATTTCAGATTAAAAAAAACGGATCAAATCGAGTTTAAAGACACGTGAACGGAGTCTAATACTGATATTAATATTAATTTATTATAAAAGAAAAATATTATTATTTTAGTGGGTACGATTGATAAGTTAAAACCTACCGGGCCACGGTGTGGTGTTGACGGACGTGTTAGAATTGAAAAAGGACGGCCAATGCACTGCGATGCAAACACGATCCAAATCCGAGCAGATTTGAGGCCCTCCTCTAATTGGGAATCGTAATCGTGCGCAAATGAAATCAAACAAAAAGTCACCTTCACTTTTTTTTTTCTTAAAAAAAAATCTGCTGTGACTACGCGTTGCTCGTACGCGGCAACACGTTAGGAGAGGAGCTGTACTTTTCAAAAAAAAAAAGGCTGACCAAGCAAACGTGTGCAACAACGCGGAGCCGGAGGGCAGCACAGCACCTATCGGCTGTCAGCGCTCACGATCCACCAATGCCAATCTATTGTCTTCTCTCTCGTTCAGATAGATAAATCAGATGTCATACGTACTACTACCAGATGGTTGACTTTTGCAAACCTGCCTCATTGTTTACAGAGACAGACAGAGCACAAACCCGGTCCGGGCGGGCATTATCTACCGGACTCTTCCATCTGTTTACCATTGCCAATTCAAATCACAACTCCAGTTTCTCCGTCTTCTCTTCTCTTCTCTTGCTGCCTGTCATCATCAGCAAACGCCCACTGTCCGTGACCCACGACAAATTCAATATACATAGAGTACTAGGCTACCAATTCAACATCTAGCTACAACATTTCACAGGTAACCGTCATCTAGATCAAACAATTCTAGACTAGGATTATCACGCCCAAATTGGCTGCTTCCATACATACACACACAGTATCTATTTAGATTTCAATCAAAGCATATGTACCAGGGAAACCAGAGTCAAATATTACATACTGCAAGCATCCTGATGTGTTACTTGCTCACATCAGGACTCCCTGATTGGCTGCCTGGCTCATGATGCATAATTTAACTTGCCTTCAAATGAGCATCCTTTTTTCGTTTCAAATATGTACACCATGTTCTTACCTAACCAGCACCCTCTCTCTACACATCGCAACTGAACCAAGCATTAACATCATGCATGATACACAACTCACAAGCGGAGGAATCCTTCAATCCAATTGGCAGGAAGCACAACCAACCCTGCAATACTGACAGTTTTTCTCCATCCATACCCAGAGAGCCAGAGACACCCCATCATCATCATAATTCAACTCATTCACATGGGCTTCCACACGCTAAGGACCTCCTGGAACATCTCGAGCATGAGCTCGCGGTCCGCGTGGTGGAAGAAGCTGTGCATCTCGTCCCTCACATCATAAATCTTCCCAAACACAAACAGGTAGGTGAGGCACCCTTTCTTGAGGCGCTCCAGCTGGTACAGCCACGCCAAGTGGAGCCGCTCCAGGACGTTCGCCGAGCTGATGTCCTCCAGCAGGCTCTCCTCGCAGCAGTCCTTGATGTCACCGATCCCGTACTTGTTGGCCGCCGCCAGCAGCGGCAGCCGGTGCTTCCAGAACTGCCCCTGCTCTATCGTCCCGTAGATGAAGCCCAGCAGCGCCGAGCACGACTCGAGGCACATGTCGCTGATGTTGATCGTCGACGACTCCTTCTCCCTCAGGTCATGCACGAACATGCTCTCGAACACGGGGGAGCACGCCGCCAGGACAGCCTTGTGGGCCTTCAGGACGCCGTCCGTCGTGTTGATGGTCACGTCAGCGTGGATGGAATCCGTCAGCATGCGGGAGAGACATCCGAGGGTGCTCTTGCTCGCAATCTTCTGCACCATGCCTTCGTTTGGCCACACCGACGATGATTCAGTAGCCTATAATAATTAGCACAATATTGGACAGCGTTAGCATATCATTAGCAGTAACAATACAAGGACTCATGATAACGAATATGCCAAGTCATTCAAGTTTCTGCATACAGGAAGGAGCCAACAAAATGTTGCAGGAATCTCCCAGGTCATGGAAGCGTTTAGCAAGAGATGTGAATTGAGAAAAACAAGACGAGGCTGGATACTTGCATTGTTATTGGCTATCCTCAGGTCCAGAAACTCAACATCAATCGTAAAACGCCCATGCGACATTGCATCAACTTGCCAGACAAAGTCATCGCTGGTACGCAGAAGATGCTCGTGCACTGCCACAGGAAAAGGATAAAACAATAACATTTATTGGGAGAGATCAGTGAAGCCATCACAGCAACAAGAAAATATCAAGAGAATGGCAGGCACAGTACAGTAAAATCCATCAAGCTCCTATGTTGGATATGGTATTCAGGTATGTATGACCTATGAATTATGAATTTATGATCCCATTTTTACTCCATTTGTATTTATCAAAGTTGCAATTGCAACAAACATAGAGATGCTACTGCCATGGTCTTTTCTGGGTAAAGGGCGGCCTCATGTCCAGTTAACCACTGCTTCACATTTGCAATACAGATTTTGTATCCTTCAAGGAGTAGCGGCAAAAAATGTTGTTTACTTGATTAGAGAGCTTCAAATTACTTTTCTGACTGGCAAGCAACTATTTTGTGCTTTGGAATGCATTCCTGTAAAGTAAAGCTCCTGATCAGAACTGCTGGCTGCAGCAGCGATGCGGCGGCTGCTGCTGCTGCTGCAGCACCCCTGTTGCACCTCTCACTGGCCAATGTATAAACTGAGAAGTCACAGCTGCAGCCACTGTTGTAGAAGTGCAGCTGATCAGGCCTTAAAACTCAAAGCAGCAGCAGCACCTGACTGCATTTTCTGCGAATTCCTGTGTTTTTTATGGGTCTTTACAGATTCTATCATCAGTTGAGATTCAGTCGGCAGATGGTGGACCAAGAAACTTTTCCCACGTCTCCTATGACCAGGAAATACTATGACAAGAATTGGAATAAGGACAGTTTATAACTAGTCATATGCTCATAGCTGAATGATAGTACTATAACCTCATAAAGGTGGAAAATAGAATTTATTCCCCCAAAAAAATACAGAAACAACTCACAGCCATCACGGGAATGGCCAATCAGCCTAAAAATTGGGCACTACAGTACTCACTATATATCACAAAGACATGGAGTATACCATTGTAATCTACTAGTGACACTCGAGAAGCAGGAGGCAAATTATTGGTGCAGTGCAGTACAAAGAAAGACTGAATCTTTAAGAATCTGGCCAAAGAAAGGTTGAATCTTTAAGAATCGGGAATGCTTAGAGAATAGAGATGCTACCAGGGGAGACGCAGGAGCGTCGCGGCGGGCCGGCCCAGGAGACGCGGATCAGGAATCGCGCGAGAGGGGGCTGCTCCTTGGCCACCCGGCCGGGCTCCGGGAAGAGGCGCACGAAGATGGAGCGGCTCTTCTCCACCGACAGGTACCTGGCACAATTGTACAGCAACAGGGGGTGGATGGAGTTACAGGAGCAGCAGAAATTGGGATTGGGGGAAGGAGGGATCGGGAGGAACAGGAAGCAGAGCAGACCAGTTCCAGATGCCGAGCTTGAAGGGGTCGGACCGTCGGTAGGAGCAGGGGCCGAAGGTGTCGATGCGCCACTGCGCCAACCGGGAGATGGTCTCCACGCGGGAATCCGGCCCACTCGCCCCTCCGGACCCGCCGCCGTTCATCGCTGACGCCGAGCAGCAGCAGCCACTCCAGGTCCAGAGGTGGGGGAGTGAGGGGATTGACGACCGAGGCGAGGAGTCACCTTCACAAAAACCTTTTCTTTTGTCGCCTACCAGTACCCTCGCCCCTCCACATCCCATGACAAACCACCAATTGCCTCTGTAATAATCCATTAACACAGAACATTCGATAGATGCAGTTGGGTCATCTGTCTAAAATATTTTTCCTAGCAGTGAAACCAATTTTTTTTTTTGAAAGTGAAAATTTGTTCATTTACTGCCAGCCCATCAGGGCCCATGAAACCAAGTCTGAGATTGGTAATGTAGCAGCTCTCCTAGCAGCCCATAGTCTTGGGCCTAGCATGCTTTGGAACTGCAAAAGGCTATGTACAACTTCTGTAATAAATTAATCATTCAAGTGTAATTTGGTGTATTTTTACCGTTCTAGCGTTAACAACTTAACATATATAACATACAAAATTAAACTCATAGTGATATAATATCTGTACAATCCTACAAGTTGTAACTCAATACATACTACAAATACTCATAGTTAGCTTAGTTGCTAACTTTACAAGTGTTCTACAAAGTTCATAGCATTGGTGTTCTTACTTTTCTTCTTTCCTTTTTCTTTTGGCCTGTCAACTTTTGATTCATGGGCAATACTAATTATTTCCATGTAAAAATAATTAGAGTACATTAAATAAAACTTCAACTTTATATAATAGAAAATTAATAATTACCCTTTTTCCAATTTATAAGATATTTTGACTTTTCTAGATACGTAGTTTTTGCTATGCACTTAGATATACACTATGTCTACATACATAGCAAATGTAATGTATCTAAAAAGACAAAACATCTTATAATTTGGAACAAGGGGTTACAACTATTCACAACAATTGAACACATATATTTGTCATATGGTTCTATTTTCCCAGCATCAATGACATTTTAATAAACCCACGTGTAATGTAAATGTACTATTCCTTCTTTCAATAAATCCATAAAAATATGAGTACCCCTACTAAGGTTATGAGAATGGTTTCATGAGGAATATATCTAACCAACTAAGCTACATCGCATGATTAACCACACACATTTGATTAAGAAAAGACGCAAAGAATAGAGGTTCCATCAAATTTTAGTGCACCGCGCCGTCCCTTTTCTGATTGAGACATCACTAAATAATATTATGCAAAAGAATGGATAAATTCAGTTACTCAATCAAGCAAGTATATGCGTGGATCATAGAAGAAGATCGAAATCGATCATTACATGAACAACCGTGTTATCATTGCAGTGCAAGGTGGAAGTTGCTATCGGCTTCAATTTGTTGATTAATAGTGAAGACTTCGGTCGACTAGATTTAATCTGTAGCTGTGAAGCAAACTTGTGTCATGGATCGTCTGGCAATTTGTAGCAACCGTATCCTATACCAAATTTTCCACACGTTTTTTTTTTCAATAAATATGCCGCATGGTTTAAGTTAATCGTATTTTTTTAGATAAGAAGTTAATCGTATATGTATGGCATGATGAAAAAAAAAACTTATGAAAGTTCATGCACGTAAAGAAATTAAATGACATGATGTCCACACGTGTACCTGTACAGGCCGAAAATCATTACTTTCTTGTGCAGATAGAACAAGTCAATGATAACAAGAGGGAAATTAAACCATCAATCAATAGTTCAAAGGTAATATAGTGATGTTGTGTATTGTGAGTACAAATTTTAGGAAAAAAAATCGATCATCAGAATAACGGCAACTAATAGTGCTAGCTAGCTTAGCTTTGATCAAGCAATCAGTTCCAGATCTTAGCTGAAGATGTACGTGAAATGATGAATACACCCTACAACTATACGCTACCAGAGTATAGTGGTTAATACAGTACACATGTATAATCAGTCGTGCTGAATGAAGAGGGATCGTCATGCATATTCAGATCAGATGTTGTCTTGTCATGCATCATTGTTGTTCTTGGAGCAAGAAGAAGGAGAAGCCGGCGGCGGTGTGTGATGGAAATTCAGCTGCGCGGGCGGCAGCAGGCTGCTCAGCAGGTTCCAATCCACCGTCGACTCCGCAGCGACGGCGGCAGCGGCAACTTGATCGTTAAAGCTATGATGCACGCCGCCGTCTATGGCAGGGCTCTGGAGCAGCGCCATGTCGGCGAGGAGCTGCACGTGCAGCTTGGACTCAGCCGCCAAGCCGCCGTGGTCATGCGCTGCCGGAGGTGCAGCAGCAGCGCCGCCGCCGTTCATCAGTAGCCGCGCTGCAGGGGCAGGGCCGTCGTAGTAGTAGGTGGCGGGCACGGTGGAGCCGTAGCTGCCCGGCAGGTAGCCGCCGGCAGCTGCGTAGCAGGCGTGCCTGATGTGCTGCTGGTTGGGCATGGGCTTCTGGAAGGCGCGGCAGACGACCCATCCTTCCTCCTGCGTGGGGGCGTGCTCGTTGCTCTGCAGCCGGTACTCGTGGATGATCCAGTCCGTCTTGCGGCCGTTGGGCGCGCGGCCGCGGTAGAAGACGAGCGTCTTCCGCATGCCGATGACGACGCTGATGGATCCGGCGGCGGAGGAGGAACGGGAGGTGGTGGTGGAGGAGAGCACCGGCTTGTCCCTGCCGGTGGCCTTCCAGAAGCCCGCGGCGGTGGCGCGGTTGGTGCGCGTGCCGCTCGGGTACTTGCGGTCCTTGTAGCTGAAGAAGTAGTACTCCGTCGGCTCCTCCTGATCCTGGCCGCCGCCGCTTCCGCTGCCGCCGTAGTAGCCGCACCTCTCTGCGTCAACGATGGGTATCATACATCCATTGGTAGCTAAATTAAACAGCATGCATGATCAGAACACGCATACATCCATACCTTGGAGATCCCATGGCTCGATCCTGTAGAGATCGACCTCCCGGATGATGTCGAGGTCGATCTTCTGGGAGGCCACCTTCCTGGCCAGGTAGTACCCCACCAGCTCCTCCTCCGTCGGGTGGAACCTGAACCCTGGAGGCACGCATGGTGCCTGCTGCTGCTCATCCATTTCGATCTCTTCCTGCAAATGCTCGATCGCTCCACGGATCGACCGATCGAGATTATTTATGAGTTGCTTGCGTGGTTTCACTTTCGGATGGATAGAGGCATATATGCAGCAGGAGCAGAGAGAGAAATACAAGAGATCGAGGTCCTAGAAATAGCAAGCAAGCTAGCTACCAGCAGGGGAATGAAACATATGGTGGAACTTGGAGGTGGAACCAGCAGCAAGCTTGCTTAAGGTGGACCTAACAAATCAGTAGTTGCACCATACTTGTACCCGTACTTACTTACATGCATATAGTTAGGGATGGATGATCGTCAATGTATATACGTACATGTTGCATTGGTGATATCTATCATTTCTCTATATATAATATGGGAGTTGTATATATTATAAACTAAATATATATGCTGCCATAGTATGGTAGGGTACGTGTGTGAAAATGAAGAAGCTAAACTAACTTTTTTGGACTGGAAGGTAGAGTGTACGCTGGCTCTATCGGATATATATATATATATATATTCCTTAGCTTGGAGTGCACTTCAGGCCTCTGCTGGCTGCTGCCTGCCCTCCTCGTCTCTCTCTCTCTCTCTCTCTCTCTCTCTCTCTCTCTCTCTCACTCACACAATGCAACCCTCCACCAGCTTGTACATCATGCATACCGGTACTAGCTAGCACACTACACATACCCTGCTCGTTCAATTCTTCCTTTCATGCTAGCTAGCTTCTCTCACACCTACTTGCTGCACTGCATGCAGCAGCTACCAAGCGTTGCATTGTGGCCACATATATATTTCCTATAATCATATTATGTCATTGGATATACATAAAAAAAATACAAGGACTATACACGTATAGATTCATGCTCGATGAGATCGATCAAGCAAATTAACACCATACTACGGGAATACACAAACAAAGCGACACAAAAATATAAGTATGCATATATGATCAATGACGATGTTTTGATTAATTGTGGGCACTCACCAGACGATTCAAGAGATAGTTGGAGCAGCTAGCAATAATAAGGAGAATGATGAACAAGCTATTGTGGCCTCTGATGATGCAGATAAGGTGGTATAGAACACGATGTAATACGATGGTATATGCATGGACTATTTATAGATGGGTGAAAAGCTAGCTACTTCTTTTGGCCTTTTGGGTGCCTGATAATGTTAAGACGGAGATATATGATGTAGTCACAATTAAGCCACGGCAAGTGCATGCGCGCGTATGTAAAGAGTGAGAGACTATAGCAGCTAGCAGCTAGTCTAAGATTCTAGAGAGAGAGACATTTAATAAAGCAGCAGGGAGACAGAAATTTGAGAGCAATAAGAGGAAGAGCGATCGAAAAGGTCGCTGCTTAAGTAGTTCAATATTTTTTGGTCGGTTAATACTAACTAATTAAGTAGTCCTGAAGCGACCACCACCACCCCACTAACTATATATGCATGCATCCCAATCCCAAAAGCGACCTGACCTCACCTCTTGCAAGTACTGAGGCTTATTAGTTATTATTAGCCTGATGCTAATCCCCTCAGAGCATCTCCAAGAGACCATGTAAAATGAATCTCTAAAAAACAAGATTTAGAGGCTCTCTAAAGAAATTGGCTCTCCAAACAATCGGAGCACCACAACACCATCTCTATATTTGGACGCCGCTAAATATTTGAATGGGCCAGACAATGGATTTTTCACTCTTTTGCTCGTATCATCTGCCTCCCGGCGTGTTAAACAAGTTGTATACTCGGTGTCTAGGCATCTCCCCGTGTTGGCGTCTAGGTAGTTGGATAGGTTAGCACGTGTATCTTGTATGACAAGTGTCTTGTAATCCAAGTTGTAGAGTTCGGTTGAGATCTTCTTGGAAAGACCTCCTTGTTGTAAACGCCACACCGGGGGCTGTTCCCGTGGATTATATAACACGTAAGCGAGGCCCAGGGAAGGGTACCTTGTTCCACTATTTTTCATATGGTATTCACAGCCTTTCTCCTCGTGGAACTTTCCCATGGCGCTAAATCCATCCTCTTCCGTAGCATCTGCTGTTCCATTGCTCGTCACCTTCCTGCCGGTGAGCGAGAAGCTCACCTACGCCAATCACCCGTCGTGGAAGGCTCAAGTGATCTCAACCCTAAAGGGCGCACGCCTCCTTAGCTTCATCTCACCATCCTCCAGCCCGCCGGACCAGTTCGTGCCACCGAAGGGCGACGGCGACAACAAGGAGCCACCGTTGGTCAACCCCGACTTTGAGACGTGGGTGGCCAAGGATGGTCAGGCACTCAACTACCTGCTGACCAGCCTGTCGAAGGAGATCCTCGGACAGGTCAACTCGGAGGACACGGCTGCCAAGGCATGGGCAGCCATTGAGGACATGTTTGCCTCTCAATCCCACGCCCGCATCATCAATACAAGAATGGCGCTGGCAACGGCGTACAAGGGCGCCTCCTCGATCAGTGAGTACTTTACTAAAATGAAAGGACTAGCAGATGAGATGGCATCTGCTGGTCGCAAGCTGGAAGATGAGGAATTGGTTTCTTATATCCTAACTAGGCTGGACCTTGAGTTCAACCCTGTTGTTTCTGCTGTTACAGCTAGAGTTGAACCCATTACGGTGGGGGAACTCTTCACCCAGCTCACTAGCTTCGAGCAACGCATGGAAATCAAGGTAGGTGGAGGCGGAAGCAACTTCGAATCGTCGGCCAATCTGGCCGCAAAGGGTGGTCGCGGTGGCGGCCACGGTAGCAACAACTCCCGCGGCAGCTGTGGTGGTTTTGGCCGCGGCGGTTCAGGACGTGGACAGCGCGGCAGCCACAGTGGCGGCCGTTCACAAGGAGGCGGCTTCTAGGCTGGCATCTTCTGTCAGCTGTGCGGGAAGGAAGGGCACGCTGTGATCCGCTGCTTCAAGAGGTTTGATGCCTCTTTCACTGAGCCGCCCCAGAAGTTGGCCTCATCTGCTACGACGTCGTATGGAATAGATACAAACTAGTATATGGATACCGGTGCGACTGATCACATCACCAGTGATCTGGAAAGGCTGACGGTACGCGATAAGTACCATGGAGCAGATCAAGTCCACGCTGCCAACGGTTCAAGTATGGAGATCACTCATGTCGGTCATAGCTTATTGCGCTCCCCTATTAGCAATATTCATCTGAAAAATATCCTTCATGTTCCTAAAGCCAATAAAAATCTCCTTTCTGTTTATCGTCTTACAAATGATAATGGTGTTTTTCTGGAATTTCATCCCAACCATTTATCTATAAAGGAGGAGACGAGGAGAACCCTCCTCAGAGGCAGGTGTGAAGGAGGCCTCTATCCACTGCGATCATCCCCGAATAAGTCGTCCTCGAATAAGCAAGCTCTTGGCGTTGTTAGGCCGACCACTTCCTTGTGGCACCATAGGGTAGGTCATGCTTCCACTCAAGTAGTCTAGCAAGTCCTTAGTCGCCACAAGCTTTCATTTGTTAAAAACTCGAATAATGATCATGTCTGTAATGCATGTCAGCAAGGCAAAGCCCATCAGTTGCCTTATCCGCGGTCTACAAGTGTATCAGCTTGGCCGTTAGATCTCATTTTCTCAGATGTATGGGGATCGGCACCAACATCTGTTGGACGACACAATTATTATGTTAGTTTTATAGATGATCACAGCAAATTTGTTTGGATTTATCTTCTGCATCACAAGTCTGAAGTTTTTCAATGTTTTCATAATTTTCGAAGTCTTGCTGAACGACAATTTAACCGCAAGATCTTAGCTGTTCAGACTGATTTGGGAGCGGAGTATCGTTCATTAAACTCCTTTTTCCAGCGCATAGGTATTTTCCATCATGTCTCCTGCCCTCACGCACACCAACAGATCAGCTCCGCGGAGTGCAAACACAGGCACATAGTAGAAGTTGGTCTTACTCTCCTAGCACATGCATCCATGCCTCTTAAATTTTGGGATGAAGCGTTCCTTACCGCTGTTTTTCTTATAAATTGACTTCCTTCTGAAGTCATCAACAATGAAACCCCCTTTGCTCGTCTTCTTGGTCAAGATCCGGATTACACCTCGCTTCGCACCTTTGGCTGTGCTTGCTGGCCCAACTTGCGCCCATATAACACTAGAAAGTTGCAATATAGATCGAAACAATGTGTCTTTCTAGGGTATAGCAATCTTCACAAGTTTTAAGTGTTTAGATCCTGCTGAGGGGTGTATCTATATCTCTAGAGATGTAATTTTTTGATGAACACGTGTTTCCTTTTGCTTCATTACATCCCAATGCTGGAGCTCGGCTCAAAGCTGAAATTCAGCTTCTACCCGATGTCCTATTAAATTCTTCTACTAATCTTGGGGATGCCACTTTGCTTGACCGTACTATGGGTTCTCCTGTACCTACTAATCCTACTTCACCTGTTGCTGGAGCCCCCTTGTTTACAGGATCAAAATTGGAACAAAAAGCTGAAAGTTCTAATGCAAATGGTGGCCTATATCGCATGTGCTACCCAGGAGGAGACAACACATGCACCGAGGCTGATACGTCTGTGCGAGATTTGGGCGGTGGCGGCGCATCGTCTTTAGGATCCGCGTCGCAGTCGTCGCCAGGCATCTGTCCCTAGCGGCGGATCTTCTGCGGCCACACCACCGACGTCTCCGTCTTCAGGCCACAACACGTCAGCACAGTCCGATCCGAGTGGGAGCGCCGTGCCGTCAGGCGCGGGATCTCCTGCGGTTGCCACCGGATCGGATGTGGAGGGCTCGGCTATGGCCTCTCCAGTGCAAACTAATGTTCAGCGACCTGTCACGCGTCTTCAACGAGGTATTAGCAAGCCTAAATCCTATACTGATGGTACTGTTAGATGGTGTATGGCTGCTACTTCTGCTGCAGAAGAACCTGCTACTATGAACGAAGCCCTTGCTGATCCAAAGTGGGTGAAAGCAATGGACTCGACACATCAAGCGTTGATGTGTAATAATACATGGCATCTGGTGCCTAGACCCAAAGGGAGAAATGTCATCGGATGCAAGT